GGCTGACCTGGCATGGACCATTGCCCCCTTTTCTACTAATGTACTAGTTGGGCCAGGCCCCTTTTCTTTAGCTACCCTGCAGGGCTTGATGGCAACCATCTCGACATTGACATCAACATCATCAAATCTATTCGGCATTACCTGCTTAGTAATGTTTCCATCGTTCTCTCAAGTGTGTCTGATGTATGGGTCAGTATTAGGTACCGCGGCACTCAAAATTGTTTCAGGTATTTCTAGTCCAACACAGCATCCGTGGGCGGTATGTTTACCAAGGAGATATCTACATTGATCTATCACAGCTTCTGCAGGACAAGATATATCTGGTATTTGCAGGTTCCACTGGCAACTTCACCCAACTAAACCAGATAAAGTCGTGGAACTTTACCATGATAGATGAATAAGCCTGCGTTTCTTTGGCCTTCGGGCGGCAATTAGCGGGAGATGGGGCTATCGGATGTCGGGTTGCTCTTCACGGGAGGGGCTCGACAACACAGCAGTTTCTGATCCATGATCTCTACTTCCCTCATGAGGAAGTGAGTATTGTGGAAAGTTTTACTACTGTATTGAGAGTGTTGAGTGTTCACTACGGTGTGATTGTGAAGTTGTACGTTACATTCCTGCTTGTTTTCTGGCCGAATAATTTTATACATGTATCAGTTTTGTTTAAACACTTAAACAGGACCTACCAAACCAAGGCTCAGATGATTTCTTAGCATGTCTATTTTTTGTCTTTTTACCCTGCTATAAACTTTTAATATACCAAAACAAGACTCTTAGATAAAATGGAAGACATATTTTTAAGAGATTCCTTGTTGATCTACATTAAGAAAGAGATTGCAATAGGATTCTTGACAGAAGCAATTATTGGTAAATTCAATTGCGACGAAACATCGTGTGCGATTCAACTAAAAATTGTTAGTCATGACCATCATTCAATTTGTTGTGCTCGATGTATGGCCCCCTTGTGTGTATTTCCTGGCTGACTGGCTCAGCCATTATTCTTGAAGAAATTTAGGGGTTTGAGAAATAATAACTTGGTGATAGTTTGTAGCTTGCCGACCTGTCCAAATCTTTGCGGCTGTCATAGAAAATGAGTGAAGCTTCTGATAGTACCTGAAGTCTCAAGCTTTTCAATAGAGCCAACATCTTCAATTATAATATATTCCGTACACCTTGTTCCAGCACTGTTCTTGAACAACTAAAGGGCTCGAGAAATACCATCTTGCTGCTAGTTTGTAACTTACTCACTGCTTTGGCCATGCCGACCAACCGCGCCCACGTGACGAAGTACCCGCACACCGGCTTCTCCCACAACGCGCCGGTAGCGCGCCACCCAACATCCCCATTGGACTAATCCTCGAAGCCGTTTGAAGTATTCCAGGGACACAAATTTGAACTAGTAACTACTATCAAATGAGTTGTTTGGTATGCTAACGAGAAGCTCAGAGGATGATAAGCAAGGAATTTACCATGTTAGAATTCCCGCAGTTAGCATGCCGATTCGCACTCATACTGAAATTGAACAGTGGTGTGTAGACTTGGCAATCTGCGCCTGGTATGCTTGTAATGGGGCGGTGGCCTCGCTAAATCTCCAGCTGTTAGAAATTCCAATGCAACGTTAGTCGCTTAACTAGCGATAGACATGAACTGGTAGTCACAGCAGATGATGAAGATCTCCAGCAGCTTGCGAAGACTGGCGTGCTCTTGGAAAAGTTGAGCTGCGTCGTAACAAGATGAGGAGATTCCGAAGGCGTGGACATTTCCTGAGAAATCTGTCGCCGATATTTCAAGGTGCGGCATGCCCATGCGATGGAGGTGGCGGTGCCGGTGGCTATTGCACCCGCGACTTCCTTACAAGGAGCAAGCGGGGACTAACGGGGATGCACCACGGCCACGACGCTGAGCCCCAAAGGAGGGAAGAAGGCGGCGGTCTCTGGGCTACTTTTATCCTTTCCTTTTTTAGAATGGAGTTCGCTAGATTAAAAAGGAGTTTTATAAGAGCACATATGATTAACAGTATTTTCTTTCATCACCGCTTGAGAGAAGCAAATCAAGTGGCACATCATTTGGCAAAATATTCTTACGGGTCTCATGCTGAACTTGGTTGGTATGTGCGTCCACCCAATTTTCTCTTGCCTTATGTAATCTATGATCTAACTCTCACATCGTAATAAAGCGCCACGATGCAAATTTTCAAAATGTAAGAAAAAAAAGAGTCATCCTATTTAGCGACATGAGCGTGTGAGAGGACATAAACCTCCTCCCGTGCATGATTTGGGGCCATGTGCCCTGTCTTTCCTTTCATTTATTTTTGCTTCATATTGTTCAAAGTTTAAAAAAATAGAATTTAAAAAATCTTCAACAACTAGAAAATGCTCTTGGACTCAAAAAATGTTCTCAAAAGCAAAAAAAATTTGCATTCAAAAAATAATTTTAATTTTGGAAAAATCTTGTATTCATTCAAAACAAATTTTTGTGTATAAAAAAATATGGCGCAGATTCAAAAAATGTTCATGAATTTCAGAAAGTGTGTGCAAAATTTTACAAAGTGTCTGTGCATTAAAAATATTTCATGAGTTACAAAAAAGTTTTGAAGTTGAACAAAAGGTCCAAAAAGTTCCATTTTTCACGATTTTTAAATAATATGCTCATGAATTAGGAAAATGTTCATGATTTAGAAAAACTCTTCGTGAAACCAAAATATGTCCATGAAGTTAAAAAAATGTGCATGAGTTATAAAAAACCACTAGCATCAAACAATGTTCGCATGTGTTAAAAAGTGTTCATGAGTAACAATTGTTTAAAAAAAATTCCTAATATGTTCACGAATTGGAAAAAAATCATGAATTTGAAAACTATTGACAGTTTTAAAAATTTTCACGAGTTTGAAAAAACTGTTCTCAAATTTATTTATTTTTTACTTTCAATTTATTTTCACGAATTCCAAAATTATTATCAAAATAGAAAAAATTTAGCACATTTTAAAAAAAGTTCACGAACTTGTCAATTGTTCACAATTTTCATAAATGTACATGAACTAAAAGAACGTTAGTGATTTGTAAAAAGAAGTTTACGAATTTTAAGTAATTTTTTGAATGTTAGAAAAGAAAAGAAAGAGAAAAAATCAGAAAAAAAGAAAAAAAGGGGAAAATGTAGAAAGGAAATAAGAAAAAACAAAAGAAAACACGAAAAACCGGTTCAACGAAAGTTCAAAACCGTTGGGAAAAAACCTCTAGAGAAGGCTTGGACAAGGAAGGCTCGGAGAAGGTGGTCTTGGCGGTCGATCCAGTTGGCCCCAAGTTGGAGATGGCGGACCGCGCTGTCGGTGGGCCGGCATCACCCCCACCTCTTGATGGACGATGCATGGGAGCACTTCCGCCTCTCAATGGTCGAGGAGACCTTGCGAGGGAGGTGCAGCTCGAGGAAGAGCACGCGAACGCTGCCGCCCTCGTCGAGATCTATGACGGCCCGTCCCTCATTGCCAAAGCCCGAGTCATCCTTGAGCCCATCGAGGATGAGGGGGTGGTGTCAACGAACCCCCGCAGGATCTTCATTCGCGACCTAGAGCCAGAGATGACTTTTGCATACAAAGGACAACAAGGATGAGATGCCTCATGCCGCCAATGACCGCGAGGCCGGTGGTTCCGACGAGGGAGTGCTCCCGATCCCCTCAGACAAGGAGTCGGTAGAACAATTTGCTATGTATGTAATTTTTATTTCCAGATGTAGTTCTAGCTGGTTTAATTTATGAATAAATGAATCTAGGAAAGAGTTGTAGTTTTAGGTCGTTTGCAATTCTATATATGTTGTTGCATGCTTTTGTGTAATTTTGAAGGTTAAGAAATAGTGAGTCAGACGCATAGGGGGCAAGGAAAAAAAAAGCCCAGCCGGGCTGGTTTTACACCTCCAACCGGACCGGGCTTTCTTTTTCAGTCCGGTTGCTACGAGACTCTGGAGAAGAAAAGCTTCAGCGTCCGTCCACATTCGTCCTCCTCCTGACAAGCTCCTCGCCGCCGGCTGCATCCCCGTCGCCCTACCAAGGTACTACCTTTCCCGGATCACCACGCCACTGGCTACAACCCTGGTACATTTTCCTAAACCAGATCCATGATTTGCCTTCTCCATTTGCAGATCTGACCTCATCCGGTCCCCTGCTTCCATCCATGGAGAAGGCAGAGAAGGAGAGGAGCCTCGAGAAGAGGACCAAGTCGGGGCTGGACAGCCATCCGGGGGCGACGGTGGAGGCGGCCAGCCTGCTCACCGACGACCTCATCTTGGAGATCCTCTCCCGCCTCCCCGCCAGATCCCTCCACCGCTTCAAGTGCGTCTCCGTATCTTGGCGCGACCTCATCGCCGACCCAGCCAACCGCAAGAAGCTACCTCAGACCCTCACTGGCTTCCTCTACTTCACCACCGACGCCAGCGGGGATCGCCACCACTTCGCCAGCGTCTCCGGGGACGGCGCAGCCCCGTTCGACCCTTCCCTCCGTTACCTGCAGCCTAGCAGGTACAAGGACATGGAGCAGATGGACGCCTGCAATGGCCTCCTTCTCTACCGCGGCAGCAACGAGAAGTTGTCCCCTTATTGCGAAAAGGGCGATTTCCGTTTTGTCGTGTGCAATCCCGTCACGGGGAGGTGGTTGGAGCTGCCCCCTTCACCGCAGATGCCGGAAAACAGATTTGGCTGTACCGCAGGTCTCGCTTTTGATCCTGCGGTCTCATCCCATTTCTGCGTCCTTCACTTCGAGCAGACCTATGGGGTAGCTTATATCACAGCAGTGAACATCTACTCGTCGCGGACAGGAGCCTGGAGTCGGAGGGATAGTGGGATGCTTGAGAAGGTAGCCCTGTTTGATTTCAGTAGACGCGTATTTGTCGGCGGTATGATGTACCTGATGGGCATCCATAAAGGCATCAACGAAGAGCATGTGCTGGTGGGGGTGGACATGGAGGTGAAAGTGTGGAAGATTATCCGTGTGCCGTACAGTTGAAGATATGGCATGTTTGGATCATCGCAGGGGTGCTTACACTATGCTATAGCTTCTTCCATTGATAAGATTGAACTCTGGTGCCTCAAGGATTGTGACAGTAAAGAATTGGTTTTGAAGAATACCGCCAACATCGATAAGCTTATGAGCATGACTGGGAAGAGGTACACCGTGGATGAGATTCATCCAGATTGCGACATCATTTTCCTGGTTTCACGGGCAGGTGATACCTTGGCAGCGTACGATGTGCGACATCAGGAAGTTGGTTGCATCCTTAATGTTGAGATAAACAATACAGTACGGCATCGGTTTCTACCCTATGTTCCTCTGTTCTCAGAGTCATTAGCAGATGCAGATGGGCAGTAGTGTTACCTTCAAGCAGCCCTTGTGCTTCCTCCAAGAATTTTGCTCTTCTATGACCTGAAGTATTTGCCGTGTACTTTGGAATCTGCTTGAATCATGCTGCTCAGTTTGTTGGTGCTTACACTCCTGCCTGCATGATTTTCAGTTCAGAGCAAATGCCTTGTAAACCTACTGATTAAGCATAATGTCATTTCTAAAGAACATTGTTAGTCTTGTTCTTGTTTACCTAGCACTAGCTGTTGTTTTGGACATGTATTAGTTCCATGTGGCTAAATTATAATGTGATCGGTGTTCCGTTCCATAACAATCAGTTATTATGGTTATCATAAATCCTAGGGCAGACTGTGAATCTGGTACTGTAGTAAAATCAGACTGATTAATGGTGCAATGTCTAATTGACCTTATTCATTCAGTATTTTGGTAAAGCACTGCCTTTGAGCAGGTTCTTTTTATTTATATTTGTTCTAGCTAATGAATTCAGTAGAGCCTTAGATCTGTTAATCACAGAGAAATTGCATCAATGTCAATAAAATAAAATAACATTTGAAGTTTTGAAGGAAAGTTTTGCTGCGTTTGGTCTGGTTTTGTTATTTCTGGTGAATAACATATAAGCACACTTCGAAGCGTGCTTGCTGCTTCGGAACCACATACCCTTGTATAATCTCCATTGGTGCTCTAATTTCGGGGGTGCACTGGTGCAGTATAAGTGTGGCAGAAGCAGATCGGACTATTCCAGAGATTTCAATCGAAGTTTCTGTTTCTGAAGCTGACCCTTTCTTGTCAAGGTACTATCCATATCCTATGTACCTAACCCTTCTAGGGGATTCTGTGTCAGAAAGCGCGAATATTTATTTCATTCCATTAAAAATAAGAAGCCAATCTGTTCATAAGAAGAAAAAAGATCTGGTTTCCTTTCCCTCATCAACCTGCCGTTCTTTTATTTCACGAAAGAATCTTTCTGTCCGTATTGAGCAACTCAAATTCCTAGAAAGCCGTTGTGTACTAGCAAAAAGCATTTGCTTAGTTTCCTTTCTCCTTGTCCTCTAATTATTCTGCCAAAAACAGCATGTAGTTAAGTAGTACTAATGGTTAACTGTGGCCATGCACAAACATAGCATGCTGTCCATGTTGGCAGTGGCAACTGTTAGGAAATCTATAGTTGATGAGTTGGATTTATTCAATTTTTGCTGCTCTGCATTAATCATGAGTCTTCTTGAATGGTTATCCTAAATAATATTGTAACAGTTTTCCTTTCCATAACAATCAGTTATTATGCTTATCGTAAATCCTATTGCTGTAGTGTAGTAAAAGGGTTAATCAGACCGGTTACTGGTCCAATGTCTAGTTGACCTTGTTCATTCAGTATTTGGGTAAAACACTGCCTTTGAGTGAGTTCTTTTTATGTATGTTTTCTGTAGCTAATGGATTCAGTAGAGCTCTAGATCTGTAAATCACAGAGAAAATTGCATCAATGTCAATAAAATAAAACTGTAGTTTACTGACAGCTTCATGGACATGCATGATATTTGTCTGTCAACAAAACTGTGTTAAGTGATTGATTTGGCTGTGTTGCTACCCTATTTGAGACGGCTCAACCGGCGTTTCTTTTGTAGTATATTTGTGACGTGACGATTCCATTCTTGAATGTTCCTTTTAGCGAAGGACCGTTGGCCGAACTTTATTAGATTGGGGAAAAGAGTACAATTGGGGACAGTCTAGGCGAACTAGAGCTGAGACCCAAGATAAGACGAACAAGGAGTCCTCGCTAGCAAGAGACTTTATTTGTGACAGCCTAGGCGAACTTTATTAAATGTTCCTTTTAAGACTCTGGACTGAGAATAATAGACGAGATGAATCATTGAAGAATGCCATTTAATTTCAAGAAAAAATCTCCGGGCTGCTTGAGAACTAGTTATGCAATTATTTTTGAAATTGGCACGGACTGAATCAGACGCATGTAACAGTTTTATATTCATAACGAGCTGGCCATTTATTTGTCTGTCTGAACATTTGCCACAGTGGGCAGATGACTGAATTCCATCTGGTATCATACATAATCTTCGTCTAGTGATTTTGGTTTTTCTTACTGCATGTATAGTATTTTTTTTCCAGTTTTGTTATCCAACATGGACTCCTTAATCTTTTTTTCTTTTCAGATAGCGCCGATAAACTAATTTACCCAGAAGACGTGGATAGAATCTAGGAACACTGTTTGTCATATATGCCAGACTTGTTGCAGGCGGCAACTAGGCAGGCGAGAAGAGGGACACAAACACCTCTTTCAGGTGCCTGGGAGGAACATATGCATCAACCATACTCAAATCTTTCAGTTATCTACTGTATATGATTTTGAGTTTACCTAGGTTGGACCATTTTTCTGTTTTCTATCTTTGAAACACTTTGGGCAAACCCCTTCTTTGTATTAAAGAAATTAACTATCCGGGTAAGCCAAAATACAATGGATCAAGAAAACAGAACAACTTTTTTTTTTGACCGTGAAAACAGAACAACTTGACTAGCTAGGATAAGTATACCATGCAGATGAGTGAGTATGCATTTGTTAGATAGCTGGAAATTTTGGGTAGCAAGAAAGAGACCAGAGGCAAAGTCAAGGGTGATTGGCTGAACCCGTGGAGGAGGATGGTCTATATTTTTTGGTAGGCCAAGGATAGAAACCACGAGCTAACTACTAATCAATGTGAAGACTTTTCCAGAAATGCGACAGTAATGAGGACCAGCTTGACTGAAGATTGTTCTACATGTGCAGGTTCATGGAATATAGCAGCTTGTTACACCCTCTTCCCCTCTGCCTGGTTCTCCACCCCTACACCCTTCCTGTCAGCTTCTTCTCAGGCGAGGAAAGGAGCTCTGCCCCTATCAAACAAAAAGTGGACCAGGGAGGGAGCTGTGTCCAACACCTAGATGGCCGGTGGCGACCAACACGGTGAGAAGCTTGCTGCCCTGGAGAAGGCGTAAGAGGGAGCATGTTAAAATTTACCTTTTGAAATTCGTCAATTCAGCCTATCTCTCTCCGCATATAGTGCTAACTATTTCTTGTACTGCATACTCCTTACAGATGCATCTTGTGGACTTGATTGGACCACACGTTATCAAATAATATTGGGGCTCTGTGAAGGCATACATTATCTTCACCAGCAGTGTATTATTCACATGGACCTCAAACCTCAAAATGTACTATTGGATGAGAACATGCTGCCCAGAATTGCGGATTTCGGTCTGTCATGGTGCTTAAGTGAAAGCAAGGGTCGCAGTATTACTAAAAACATGCTTGGGACGAGGTATGCTGGCAATTAACTTTGAGAACTTGATACCTTTATTAGTTATCTACCAACATTTTTATATACACTTTGTTCACTAATCAAACAAACTACGCCAATTTTTATGCTGGGGATATATGGCACCGGAAGTCATAAATAATGGAGAAATCACCTTCAAGACAGACATATTTAGTTTCGGTGTAATAATCATGGAAATCCTTATGGGACATAAGGAGTGCTCTAATGCTAAGGAGGTAATAATGCTGCTATAGGTTAAAAAAAACAATGTAGTTGGCCTGTTTGCTCTAATGTCAAGACCTGCATATTCAGTCAGAGTATCTAATTAACAGCCGGATTTGCAAGTGACATGATTTGAATGTTGACTTTCTAACGATCATTGACAAATAAAAAACAGAAATAAAGATGGTTCTAATATCTGAAGTCATTATGTGCATTGAAAGACCAATGACACTAAAATTGATGAAGCGGAAAATTTGAAGTTTTTTATGGTAGGTACCATTGCATTTGCTCTTCAATCCTAAGTGTTCTCTTTTTTCTATTCTAAAATGCATCATCTTTTTCGTAACTCACTATGGCGCGCTGTCAAATTGGCAGATAGTTGAAAGTTGGACGAGCAAGTTTGGAACATCAAGAAGCCAGACAACAATGGAACAAGTAAAGCTATGTGCAGAGATAGGGATAAAATGCACGAACGTTGACCCAGCGAACAGGCCAGCTACATGGTTTATCGTCCGTGAATTCGAAATACTGGGTGAATTGGAAATTTCAAACTGCTCCCGCAACCCACTTTAGAATCTCTGGACTGGCAAAATCATTGAGCGAACATCACCCTGCATTGTTTGTACAATTATCTTTCTTTTAACTATGTTTTAGTTCGATCGAACTTATGAGTAAAGAGGTTCCACTCCATGTCAAGTTCACACGATTTCTTGTGTTCTCTTCACTCTTCTGATCAGTAATTCTGATCCCCTTGGAGGACACTCGGGGGCTGCATCAACCTTTTTGGTACGCCGCAACCTAACGTACTCTTGCCACCCTTTGCTCTTTGTTCTTTGCAAGGTGTTCCTCGATGTGCTATGCCCACTCTTTGTCTCTCAACTACAGCCGCAACCTGACCATCAGTTAGCGGGAGCCAAAGCTAACACTAACCTACACGTCATCAGACACAACTCAAAAAATGTGCAGGTATAAAACAACATAACAATTCAAACTTACCAAAAGTTTCTACAAGTTTTTATTTGGCATCCAAAGCATATTACATTACTACACTAAATACTAGTATATCTTCAAGTCCATGGGGTATCTTGCGGTGATCTCACGAGCATGGCTAGGACATTGGCGAAGAAGCTTTCGGGCTGGACTGTCTCCCCATCGATGTAGAAAACCGGATAATACGCCTTCACCAAGGCACCCTTCTCAAGTTTCCGACCGCTGCCACTTTTGCATCTGGTCCAGGCTCTCCATCAACCCACATGATAGCGTCTAGAGGCTACTGTTGATCTGCTCATCTGGTCAAAGGCAGAACAGACATCTCCTGCCTTGCCTTCTTGGCGTTCGTCAATGTTCGCGAACTTGCAGCATAATTGGTTTGATGCCAACATTTGGCATTGCCAATATTTGGCAAGTCTACATTTGGCAAAATCAAAAGTTGCCAATATTTGCCAATTTTTTGTGAGATTGACAAAAAAAAATTGGCAGCCAACC